GAGAGTGCGATTTGGTTTTGTCGCGGGCAACCCTCTGCGGAGATCGTGCGTGTCGAGTGCGCGAAATGCAGACGAGAGTGCGATTTGTCCCGGTCGCGGGCAACCCTCTGCGGAGATCGTGCGTGTCGAGTGCGCGAAATGCAGGTGAGAGTGCGATTTGTCCCGGTCGCGCGCAACCCTCTGCGGAGATCGCGCGTGTCGAGCGCGCGAAATGCAGGCGAGAGTGCGATTTGGCTTTGTCGCAGGCAACCCTCTGCGGAGATCGTGCGTGTCGAGTGCGCGAAATGCAGGCGAGAGTGCGCTTTGGTTTTGTCGCGGGCTGCTGAGATCGTGCGTGTCGAGTGCGCGAAATGCAGGCGAGAGGGGGATTTGGTTTTGTCGCGGGCAAACCTGTGCGGAGATCGTGCGTGTCGAGGGCGCGAAATGCAGGCGAGAGTGCGATTTGCCCCGGTCGCGGGCAACCCTCTGCGGTGATCGTGCGTGTCGAGTGCACGAAATGCAGGCGAGAGTGCGCTTTGAGCTGGCGACTTTCTAGTACAGGAAGATGAGAACTGGCGACTTTGTAGTGCAACTTTAGTACGCGGAGCAAGCTGTGGAGCTGGAAGCTGAGAACTGGCGACTTTGTAGTACAACTTGAGTACGCGGAGTATCTGGGCAGCTGGAAGATGAGAACTGGCGACTTTGTAGTGCAACTTTAGTACGCGGAGTATCTGGGGAGCTGGAAGATGAGAACTGGCGACTTTGTAGTACAACTTTACTCTGCGGAGCAATCTGTGGAGCTGGAAGCTGAGAACTGGCGACTTTGTAGTGCAACTTGAGTACGCGGAGTATCTGGCGAGCTGGAAGATGAGAACTGGCGACTTTGTAGTACAACTTTAGTGCGCGGAGCAATCTGTGGAGCTGGAAGCTGAGAACTGGCGACTTTGTAGTACAACTTTAGCGGAGTATCTGGGGAGCTGGAAGATGAGAACTGGCGAAGTTGTAGTACAACTTTAGTACGCGGAGTATCTGGGGAGCTGGAAGATGAGAACTGGCGACTTTGTAGTACAACTTTAGTACGCGGAGCAAGCTGTGGAGCTGGAAGCTGAGGACTGGCGACTTTGTAGTGCAACTTTAGTACGCGGATGAGGCATCTCTCGCGGCTGAGTCAGCCCTCGCGGCTGCTCTGGCGCCCCTGCAGCTGAGTCATGTCTCCCGACCGCCCGGCTCTCTTGAGAGGTTGACAAATTTTAGCTACTTTGCTTACTCATAAGTGGCTGCTACAAAAGAGTCATCGTGACGTTAGTATGTGTGTACTTCACCTTCATGACAAACGATGTTCGCTTGAAATACACGAGTCGAGGTCGCCCTGTTCGTGGAAACTTCAGTGTGACATGTACGTTCTTCAGTTCTATTTGAACCTCTTCAGCGTTGTACTTGCACAACTAAGGTTGACGTTGCGCTGCCGTTGCATCGATGCATCTACGTCTACACCCCCTCACCTCTCTACATTTACATCTTCACACCCTCACATCCACAGATCTACCTCTCCACCACGCCACACCCACGCATCTGCACATCTATATCACATCTGTACACCCACACTGTCGCTCCTTCACATCTGTCCTGTCTTTCTTTCTTTCTTTATTTCTTTCTTTCTACATATCTTTTCTCTCGTCTCTGTGCATTTACATCTTCGCACGCTCACATCCACAGATCTACCTCTCCACCTCCATACATCTACACATCTGTATCGCACCTGCACATCCACACTGTCACTCCTTCACGTCCATCCTTTCTTTCTCTCTTTCTATATATCTTTTCCACAGTGCTGGACAATCACATGTCTCGCTCTCGGGCCACCCGTCGTCTAGTTCAAAATAAGGGGCTCTCCGAAGCGGCTCCATGGGAGGGAAGAAGGAACGTCACCTCGGTTGCGAGGCCTTCCTGGAGTCCTTCCAGATTGCCCGGGACCCAGACGAGACGCGACACGCATAAGGGGTCGCCCCAGCAGAGAGAGGTCGTGGTTTTTCAGGGTTTTTTTCCCTTGCTTTGCGTTCACTGGTTTCAACGCATACGGTTCGCGGCTCGCAGAAGGTGAAGTTCATTCGCGGTTCGTTCGCTCCTGGTTAGTCGAACCGGCTGAGGTAGACATGGGTTCGACCAGGGAAGTACAGGAACTTACAGCCAAGAAGGGCGCGCCTTCTGATCCGAGTGCGCCTTCTCAGATACGGAAGACACTTCGGAAAAGCCGAGGCAAAACAGCGGGTTTTGGTTCTGTTTTTGTGGTTCATTTCGTGATGGTCTTCTGTTGAGCTGTATGCTGTATCATACTGTATCCGTCACTTCTTCTGTTTCTTTAACCGTTAACCGATTCGAAGGGGGAGCAGCCGTGGCTCGTCTCTGTTTTCCTGCCATGTCCCATGTGTTCCAACCTGGCTGCCGCGGCGTACCAACTCGGCGCGCGACTCGCACGTAGCAGGTTCCCCCTGAGTGGCCTCGTCCGCTTGAGTCGCGCGCCGAGTTGTGTCATGGGACGCGAGAAGTGACCTGAGTGGCCAAGAGATTTCGATTGTTTTGAAGCTGATTCGCATGTTGCCAAAAAGCATGCTCGATCGTTTACAAAAGAAATAACATCCAACATCCAACAGTGTTAGCTTGGTTTCTGCCCACTGTTTGATGTGGCATGGCCTGCACATGTGAGCGCCAGTGCCGCAGGCGTCAACGTGGCACAGAATTGCCCGAAGATCCATTCAGATGGCTCCACGCGGAGAAAAAAGACTTCATTAAGACACCCATCAAGCGAAAGTGAACGAAAGTGAAGGAATCTTCAAGTGACGAACTCTAAAGTTGGAGGTGGATGACGTAGACGAGACGGAGAAGTTGGTAAGATCCTAAGACGCTCGGTCTCGTCTACGGAGCGAGACATATGATGATGCGATGTCCTCATTCGACGACCTCTGCGCCTAAGCTTTTGCGCAGGCTCGCCATAACACTAAGTCCAGGAGTCAATCATGCAGGCGTCAGCGTGGTCCGGACGCCTTTGGAGCTGTGAAGGCCATGTTTCAAGCATCGTGCACTTACACTTCTGCACAGAGCCATGAGTCTTACGGCGTAGTTCATGTTCTTCCAGTGATCTTCATTCTCCAGCTCGTTTTCTTTAGTTTTCTGTTACCAGCAGTCACAAAGGGGTGGTGTTTAGTCCCTAAGTGAGTGGATAATGGGCACCCCTAACCTCCAATAGGCACCCCTTTGTGACTGCTGGTATACATGCAAATCTTGCAACGTTTGAGAAGGTTTTTTGGGCTTTGCTGAGCCAAAGCGCCAAGTCACAAAGACAAGGTTTCGACAGCAAGACGTGACACGGGGTCTTCGACGCATCGAAGATCCCGTCATCTCGGATGACCGGCGCCAACAGCGAAACACCGTTGGTCGCCCCAACAGCCTCCGCCCGCGCACGCTCGACATGCAGCGACTGCACGGACCTCCTGTGGCATTTTTTGCCGCGAACATGGAGGCTTGTTGCCTCCTGAGACAGACAGAACTTGAGAAACGAGACAGAATTACTGTAATCGTGATGTAATTATGATGTACTATCGTATAGTCCATTGTAAGTCTTAGCCCACGACACATCGTGACGAGTTAACCGAGATGTTACAACTACGTCATTACATCGTGACATACAAGGACTTACATAGCATGAAGTGAATGTAAGTGAAGCTTGATTAGAAAATGGAGCTACGCAAACATGCTCTCATGGACATATGAGGAAGTCATGACACTTGCATGCCAAGGTGACGTTTGCATCTTTTTGCCACAAACCCTTCAGGAGCTGTGATGGCAGCTAAACATTTGCAGCCGTGTCCAAACTTCAAAGCCTAGCGTTTTGCCAGATTTCCTATATTTCTGATGACTCGACTTTTCGTTGCAATGATGGTCATGATGGCCAGCGTGTCTGCGGTCCGCTTTGAGAAGGCAGAGGGACCAAGCATGTGTGGCCGTAAACTCCGCGTGAAGGAAGTGGAGGAGGCCATGGGCCATAGGGTTTGAATGCTTTTTTTTCTTGAACACAACTCGGTTATCATGGCATGTAGTTAGTAGCAGGAAAGAGGAAGGATAACCATGACGAGGTCAAAAACAAGCACGGATCCATCTCCGGATCTGGCACAAAGACCTTGACACAGTGGACTTCAAGTGTACTTTACGTTCACTACCAGTGCTATGTGAAGGCTGGGCTGCTGAAACCCCAATATTTCGTTCGATCACATAGCTATTCTGTGGGTTGCGAGAAGGCCTTATTGACCAAAACGACCACATACACGAAGCTCAAATCGGACCTCATCAAGGACTATGGCATTAAGAAATGCAGGAACGAGGAAGACTATGAGGATCTGGAGGCCGACAGCACCGCGCCCATTCCCGTGCTAGATGGCAAATCCCAAAATCAAATGGTCAACAATATGTTTGCAGCCATGGACCGGGGCGAATCGCCATTCAAAGAAGATGCCGGGGACGGGTTGCCAGTTGGAGCCGCCACTAAGAGATTTCAGGGTGGTGCTGTAGTAACAGTGGAGGAGCACAGCGGAAAGATTCACAAGCATGTGATGGGCGGGGTGAGAAAGTTCGGATTCAGCGTCTTCATCGTGAAGTGACCGTGCCCGCTTGAGTGCACGACTGCTTGACAGATTGCGCATGAGTTTAAAAAAGCTGGTCAAGGTTTCAGGTTTGTACCTGGTACCAGGGGTACCACTGTCCCCAACAGTGTATTCTCAAGCTTTACATTACAAGACATGTGACAGCATGTATAACCTGCCATAGACGATGTATTGTATACAGAAAATACTATATATATATACACACTGACATAATACTTCTTAAAGGAGGACTCGGCTTGGTCATGCCCATCTCTTGATTGACCAAGCTTGACCATATCCTGAGCTTCAAGCAAGTGCTGTGTCTAATTGATGTGATGTGGAATCCTTGTGGTCCAGGGGTTCTCATGTTCGGCCTTCGCAAATCCTTTTGGACCAGCCAATGCTGGGTTTCTGCCGGAGCTTCGTTGTCGCGGCGGCTGGAGTCTGAACCTCAGCTTTGCGACCGCAAATGGACAGGTTGACTTTGACCACTTGAATGGACATGAGTTTTAATTGGATGTTTTTTTGTATCCAATAACGCATGGGATTCTTTTTGGGGTACGGAACCCACACGGATGTCCCCCGCCCCCGGAACCCACGTGGACACGTCGCGGAGCCCGGTGAACCCACCGTGGGAACGTCGGCCACTGGGCTGGTCTTGGGCACCAAGCTCGCTGGTCCGTGGGGTGGTCGGCCCCACGATGGCACCGAGTGGACTTCCTTCCACCAGTTGGGCCTTAGGGGTTTTCATTGAAGAATCTTTGAGATGACCCAAATCGGGACTGAAAACAAAGCGCCCAACTCGTTGTACGACGTCATCCAACCGCCGCTTCGTCCAGGCCCGGCCGAGAACGCGGCGTCGGTGCGTGGGCTTCGCGGCCTGGGCTTGGTGCGCCGTTCAGGAGTGGAATTCCGGCTGGGAACGGTGTGAAGGAACGTGAATTCTTTCCAAAAGGAACGGTGAATGAGCCCCTTTTGAGTTGAAGTTGTGAGCCAATGCCATGCTGCTACATCATGTGGATACCCTACGGATGTTCTTGACGCGATCGGTCGACAGGGGGGACCCAAAAGGGGGATGTCTTTCCGGTCGCCTTTGGAACATCCGCCCAACTCGGAAAAATGGTCACTTGTTGTTTTGTTCCTATAGTATAGCTTCTTGTAGTTACTAATTATGAAAGTATAGCCAGCTGGTTCCTAGTAGCCTCTACGTTCGCTTCTTAGTTGCAGTAATGCCGAGTCGCGCCCCGTTCTTCGTCGCGATGCCGTTCCTTCGCCAAGTCGCGCCCCGTTCGGCTCGGCGTGTGGCCCGGGCGGTCGATGGCGCGGTGGCTCCCGTGGGCCCTCTGGCTGCTGGCGAGCGCTGGACGGGCAGAGTGCGAGGCAACAGGGTGTGATGTGGAGACCAGCTTGGTTCAGATTCACAAGGCCTCTCCCAACAGCAGCGACTCCTGTGCTGGGGAGCTGTTCACGACAGTTGCAAAACAGTTGGCAAGCTACCCAGAGATGCCATCGGAAGAACAGATCATCTCTGTCTTTCAGAAAGGCTGTGATCCAACATCCTCAGAGTATTCAAAGGACTGCGTCGCGATAAAGTCCGCGCACCACAAGATCTATGCCCAGACATTAGGGAAGCTCAATGGTGAAGTCCGTCAAGGTTCTGTGAAGATGTCCTTCAATGAATATGCTGTGGTGACCTTATTTTAATGCATGTGGCACAATCGGGACAATCCCGGAGTCAAGGGAGGTCATCCATTCGACACTTGCACCGAGCAGGACTTGTGCAACATGATCACCACCCAAGAGGGCTTTGAGATGCAATTCCCGCAGTCCCACACGAAGTCCTGGGGCTTCACGCCCATTTGGCCTGGATGGCCGGGCACTGGGAAGTCATATCCCATGACCCGGGT